AGCTCTGGACTTATGACTGGAATTTTATGGTAACTTTCTTTTCATCAATGATAAAAACATTCTACCTAGTCATGGAAAGAGAGGCAAGGCTGGGCCAATAAGGAATATCCAGGAAGCAGAAGAAGGGGGGGGGGGGGGCAGGGGATAGGAACAGCTGTAGGGTGTTCAAGGGGCTGGAACAGGGCAGGACAGTACAGGGACAATTAGATTAAAGGGATTAAAGGGCAGACAACACTATGTTTTGCAGCTACTAAATGAACAAACTAGCCTAGAAGCAAATCTAGAATAGCAAAAAAAAAAAAGTTTCTTTTCAAATAAAAATTAATTGCAAGCTTATTTTATCCTTCCTTTTCAGCTGAGTCACTAATAAAGATATAACAAAGCAATGGAATATAAAAAATACTGATTCTAGTTTACCCACTTACCTTTTTCCATACTTACATTAACTTTGTCCATCAAGGGATGGCAACAAAACCTACATTTTTCATCATTTTCCTCCTTGCTAAATCCACAGTTGAAAAAGGATGGTAGAGCAGCACGTTTAGGGATGTATGACAGTTTCGATTGATAATTACTAGAAAGATTGAAACCCCTCTCTCTCAGCCAAATGAGAGAAACATATTCATGGCGGAATATTTGCTGCCAGCGATTTTGGAAGAAAGTATTTTGCGAAAACTTGGCAATTGAGATATGTTTTGCCTCCCTCCCCTCCATTGAGTTCAGGGCCAAACCCACCCCATACTTCATCAGCATATCTTCAGTGTGTGAGGCAACAACATGTCCAAGAGTCCAAACTGTGGGGTTCACTGAATAAAAAACATAGTAAGCACGATAATAAATAGAACATAAGTCTTTCAGTTTACTTACCTGATCACCTGTGATATCAGTGCGACAAAAAAGAGAAACTGCATCTCGCAAACAAAGACAAATAAGGACAAGAGCATACAAACGTTGCTGATAGTGTTGTCCATCACTCCCTTCTTCTATGATCTCAAATAAAAACATGAAATTATGCAAAAACATGCGTGAATCCTTACCTGTGAAGCGATAGTCAAATTTGTCCTTTTGAGAATTTTTGGAATCCTCAAACCACTTGATAACTTTTTTTGCCACTCTTGGAAGATTACATTTTGTTCGTAATGTTTCAACATATCTTACCAGTTTTGAATGTGATGGAAGTTTTGAAAAAGAAGAAACACCTGACACATTCTTTGAGCACTGATTAAGTAACTCATCTAGGAAAAGACGGTGGGCATTGTAGTGACTCGACGCCATATCTAGATCAACTATTTATTATTCGCAACTTAGCTAATTATCATACATGATTAGTTGCTATGGATACTACATCTCTCCCTTTCTTCCAAATGTCCATGTGTCTCTTCCGTATGATTACCGAATCATATAACCTAATTACTGTCATTGCTAAATACTGTTATCTTTTTTTTCTTCATGTTCAAGTACAATAAAACTCAACTATAACAATGTTCCATGTCCTCTATCCCTAAGGGTACATATAGTAGTCTTCAAACTTCTTGGGTCTTCGTCTTTCCCTTCTTGGTCGGCTTGCTTTCTCTCCTTCATCTTGTGGTTTTTCTCTTTCCACTCGCTCTTCGGTTTTCTCCTGTTTAACTTGAGTCATCTTTGATGATTTCTCCTTCAGCTCCGCTTGTTTCTCTTCGTTGTTCGGTGGTTTCTTCCGATCCTCATGACTTTTGGTTTCCCTC